ATAAAGCATGGAGCTAAGTCTTGAACCCAACTCGGCAAACCCAGTGGTTTGCAAAAGCATGGGACAGAGGCCTGGGCCCCGGCCTTGTCCTGGATGTGGTCCTCGTGGATGGTCTAGGACTCTGGGATCTCCCACCACCCAAAAGACGTCTCAGAATCAGGGAACTTACCCACTATCTGGTGTAGACATTGAAGATAGGTGGATCAGTGTTGGCTGCAAGAACGACACCAACAAAGGTGGTCATGGACATCGGGTGGGGGCTGAGTTGGAGTATCTTGATTTCGGGTCCCCAGGTATTCTAACCTGAGGGCCTGGCAATCCTGGATCCCACTTCTGACACCAATGAAAGGGAACAGCGACACTCAACAACTAGGCCACACACACCGAGAGGTCCGACTGGAGATTTTATTCAAGGAGTGGAAGTACAGAGAGAGAGCAGAGAGAGAAAGAAGAGGAAGAAAAAGAAGAAGAGAAGAACAAAGAAAGGAAGCTCATTTTATTAGGTTTGGGTGGGTCTATTGTTTATGTATGAGGAGTGGACTACTTTTAACCTATCACAGGCCAGGTTGCCTTTTATGGGTTCAGTCCTGCAGAAACAGGTTTTAACTTTTCTGTCTCGCTGTGGCCTTGGTGGGAGGGAAACTAAAGATATGAGCATGAGGTCATTTTAAGAGCCAACAAGCACCAGGAAAATGTAGCCTGTGATGGCAGCATCACAAAACAGTTTAACATGATCAATTCCCTAACAGGCCCCATCTCTATATATTGTTACAATGGTATTTATAGTGGACCCTGAAATTATGACCAGTCTGACATACAAACAACTTGGGTTAATTAGGTTAATGGAAGATGCATCTGCCACTTATCTATAGTGTATACCCAGGTAAACATTCAGATCTTATCTGTCTTAACTTACAACCAACTTGAGTTACAACCTGCCCTCAAGAACCAACCAAGTTTGCAGTCAAGGGTCCACTGTAGATTTAAAAATTAGTTTGGGGGGGACATAAAAATCATAGCACAATCATATTGGTGTTTAAATTTTCAACTCCAGAATTTTAGAGGACACAAATATGCAGCTCATGATAACATGTCTCAGAAAGGACTAGAATCTAGACTATACAAGGCATTCTATAAACTGAACAGTAAAACACAAATAATCCAGTTGGAAAATGGGCAAATGACATGAATGACATTTCATCAAAGAGGATGTATAGATCTTTGTCATCATTATTTGATGATAAATAAGATATGGAAAGGCTTTGGTATTGTTAACTAATCATAAAATCCAAATTAAAACCAAAATGAACTATAATTATAAGCCAACCAGAATAGCCAAAGTGAAAAGTTGTGATATTTTCTGGTGATGACAGAGAGAAACTAGATCATTCTTGTTGGAAGTGAGAATGCAAAATGATATAGCCAGTCTGGAAAACAGTCAAAATGCTGAAGATCCACCAGTAGCACTCCTTGGCAAGTAGTCCAGAGAACTGAGAACTGATAGTCACATAAAAATATGAACATAGATGGTTATAGCAGCCCTATGCATAATGGCATGAAACTGGAAACTACCCAAATGTCCTTCAACATGCAAATGCTAAACAAACCACGTACATTCATATTGTAGGATACTACTCACCAATAAAAAGGAACAAAATATTGATACATGCAAAGCTAGAGTGACTCTCCAGAGAATTATTTAAGTCAATACCAAAGGGTTTCTTATTGTATGATTCCACTTATATAATATCCCAGAAACAGAATTATAGAAATGAAAGACAGATCAGTGGGTGTTAGGGATCTGGAACTGGGAAGTGGGAGAGGAAGGAAAGTAGGTAAAGCTATGAAAAGTAACAGTTCTGAGCAGTGAATCTGTATCTTGACCATGTCAATGTCAATATCTTGACTTTGACATTGTTTATAGTTTAGCAAGATGTTAGCACTGGGGAAGAGTGGGTTTGACAATACTGATAGTAAGTGCGAAGATATGTCTGCATTCTGTCTCACAACTGCATATGAATCTACAAATATCTCAATAAAAATAATTTTAAAGCAGCATTATATCAATATAGTTACAAATAGATTAATGGATCCGAGGTAAAAACCCTGTTAGGTTTATTCCCCCAACAGAAGGCCATGAAACATGGATTTCTGTGAAAGAGATTTAACAAGCAAGCATTCTCAGGAAAATCTACAAGGAAAGTGGGGAGGCAGGATCAGAAAGGAAAGGAAGTTGTAGTGGATTGCATGGTAGACTCCAAAAATACATGTCCAAATCCTAATTCCTGGGGATGGTTAATTTCATGTGTCACCTTGACTGGCAAATGGAAGTCCAGATAGCTGGTAAACAAATCTCAGTGTGTATGTGTGAGGGTATTTCCAGGAGACATCAGCGCAGTAGGTTTCTGACTTTCAAACATTCTAGTTGAGAACTGTCACAGATACAAAGGGACCTTACATTGTCAACACTTATAGATGTGAACAGATTGTAGGAGTAGCTCACATGTCTGCCAGATACTGTGACGGTTGTGCTACTTGTTGGGACTGATAACATCCTATTTTTTTCCATTTTCTCTCTCTTGGAAAGGAAATATTATATACATGCTCCATCATTATAGTTTAGATGCAGATAATTTTTCACTTTATAAGGGTTAGTAGATGGAAATTTTGGCAGGTAGGATTCATACCCAGAGACTCGACTAGATCTGATTCAGATTACAAGATTTTAGATATTTTTAACTAACATTTAGATGATTTTTGAGAACTTCAGAGATGTCGGAATTGGATGAATATATTTTGCATGTAAGAAGAACATGAACTTGGGAAACCATGGTAGGTTGAAAGGTAGCCTTCCAAAAGACATGTCTATATCCTAATAGCAGGAACTTCAAAATGTAGCCTATTTGGAAAAACATAAGTGCAGATATAACACAGGAGCTGTAATATTTGTATCTGAGCAATCCAAACTATTAAATAGTAACCAGGAAGAGATTTTCAGATACTTCCAACTCCTTATGAGAACAGGGATCTTGGATTTATCAGCCTGAAGGTAGGCTTTTGGGAAATGTAGGTGAGGCATGTTAGAATGAATACACTTGGGGGAGGCCATGTGTACAGGTACAGGAGTTAAAATCAGGGAAGTGAGCACAGCACTGGCATTGTGGACTGCAAAGCACCAAGTCTGAGCAGAAGAGTCACACTCCTAGTGCCACTTCAGAGTATGAGGAAAGTAAGGGGTATAGAAATAAATGGCACTGTGAAAATCTGTTACTCCTTCTGAAAAATAACTAGGGCCTATATTTCTCATCATATAAAACCCAATTTCGAGAGTAAAGGAGCTTACAGCAAACAACAGGAAAAAAGGAACGGACCAACACACTACATAAAATTTTAAATGTATCATATAAGACAACAGGAACAGCTACAAATAAACTGAGCCAAAATAAATTTTACAAATGAAATAAGAAAATATAAGACATTCAGAATGAGTTCCTGCGAATCCTTAGGAAATCAAAATAGCCAATAAAAATGGATAGAAATATGATTTGATATGTAATCTCATGAATAATAAGATACATGGAAAATAAAGCCCAGTGAGGTAATCACTTAGGTTTCCTTAATTTATGCCCCCCTCCAATTTTTTAAAAGAAATAGTAATATATAACATGGGTTAGAGTATGAATACATTTTCAGCCATTTTAAATTGGTCGTGGGTGAAGGGCAGGGACAAGGGGAAAAAATGAGAACCAAGACCTGTCATGTAAAGGTACAAGTTCCCAATAATGAATGTAACTGTACTGTATACCTAAAATGCACCAATAAACTCAATAAAAAGAAAATAAATAAATAAATAAATAAATAGATTGAAAAATTTTAGGGAGAATATGACGGCATCAAAAAAAGTTAACTTTTTAAATAAAATTCCACTTTTATGAACTTACAATGCACAGAAAGATGAAAGCACGTGCAATGTGAATATTTATGGCAGCATTGTTTTTAAGAGGAGAGAAACTGGAAATATCATGAACGTTTACCAGTAGGGAAATGTTTAAATTAAATGGAACAAGAAATAAAATTGTAAATCATTCCAAAAAAGTTTCCCACCCTTAAAAATACAAGATGGGGGATGGGGTTTCCCTGAACAAAATAACCAGGAAGTAGATTATACATCCACGTCCTGTGATCCGACTTACATTTTTGAAGGGTAAACTGAGGCACGACTCAGCCCACCAGAGCAGGCAAAAATGAAGCAACAAGTTAGGTTTTATTTCCAGCCTGTCGCCAGTCAAGGGCGACAAAGCCATTGACTCTGGGGGCTTGGGTAAGGGGCAACTTTAGAGAGGAGTTTGAGTAAGGAAGGGGTGGTCCCAGGAGGAGAGGAAAATTTTTCCCTGGAATGGAGGAAGTCTTATGTTCTGGGGCAGAGGAAGTCTAGTGGTCTTCAGGGTGTCTGGACCTGCAGAAGTTGCTGGTTGGGGAAGGCTGCTTATTTGCAACCAGACCTTGGCTTCCGGTTATCCTTTGAGCCTTGCAGTATGTGTAACTGCATTGCCTGGGAAGTTTTTCACTTCTGCTTGGGAGGAGGGGAGGGGTTTGACACATTTAAGAACCTCGATGCGATCAAGAACGCATATCCACTTTAACATTCTCACAAATTCCACACCACGCCATGGTGTGGGCTGTTGTACAAGCGTTAAATGTTTTGCACTTTTTTTTTTTAAATGAAAGTGTATTTCAGGACTTGTAATTTCAAAGCAAGGAACACGTATGTTGTCACTATCTTCTGTATGTAGCCATATGACTGCCAACTTCAGGGACATTAATCAGAACTCTCACCACTGCTTAGCAGGTCGTGCTGCTTCCGGAGCTCGCCAACGCTTCACGCAGCACAGCAGTAGCCTTCCCTTTCCCGCCAGCCTCCGGCTTCAATTGCGCAAGCGTGAGAAGGCGGTGCCAGTGTTCGGCCACCCCTGACTCCGCGGCTTCTTACGTCACTGAGCTGCGCCGCGCACTATTTTTCTTACCTTGACCGCGCCCCCCCCCTGGCGGAGCAGTGGGTACTGGTGGAGATGGTTCAGGCGCTTTACGAGGTGGGCTTCGCCTGCCACGCCGGCCCTGGGGAGGGGAGAATGGCTCGTGTGAATCTGTGGTCGGAGAACTCAGCGACACTGACTGAGTCACGGCCTGACGGACTGCAGTCCTGGTTGTCTTGAGCTCCCCGGAGTTCCCGGTTCCGGCCACCGAGTCTAGAGTGTTGGGAGGAGCTCATCAGAGCAGGTCCCGTCCCGGCTCTTGGCAGGGGGCGCTGGTTGGAGAACTTGAAAGTCTCAGTCTGGAGGTGTTTTAGGGGAATCAAGTCCCTGGATATCTGAGAAAAGATTCTGATAAACTTGAGCCTTTTTTTGTGGGGGTTGGGAGAGGGTAGGTTAGAAAAGCCGCACGATTCAGGTTTACAAATCTGAAATAGTTTGTCATTTCCCTACATACATCCCATTTTCTATCTTGCAAAGATCCAACTACTTTAATACATTTTTAAGAGACAGTTTAGTTTTTGCTTGTTTCTTTGAAAGGCTAGCTGAATTTCTAATTAAACTTAAATGCAAATTTAAATAGCCACTTGTGATTGGTGGCTGCAGTCTGGTATCCTACAGATCTAGACGTTAAGAATAGTTCAGCGGACAAGCTAGAGCCCCTGTGCTTATAGAGCTTACATTCATTTAAAGTAAATTTCACGTTTCTTTTGTTAACTTTTTGGAAACAGTATTGCAGAATTCATTGGAGGTAGCAGGCTTGGCTCTCTTCTGTCCTCATATTCAACGTTAGGTTAGTTATAGCGATTAAGATAAAAGCCATAAGAAGTAATTTTTTCCAGAAATGCATTAATTTTCAGTTACATGTTTGCCCCTTTTTGAAGTAACAGTGTAACTTATACCCTGAAAGTGACCAACAAGAAAAATTGAGAAAGTTCCTGAGGTCTACAGGAAGTGGCATTTTGTGATTTTTATTAATTTACTCAAGTAGTTCCTCACCTTTTCTCAGAGTGATTTCTTTGTAAGGTGGACTGTTAAAGTCCAATTATTAAGAAAACTAAGAGTATTATACTTACTCCCAAGTGAATTACATTTGAGATCATCACATTTTAAAAATCATCTTGAGGAGAGACTTCTGATGTGTTTCCAGTTTCTGTGTACTTTGTAAAATTTGAGGAAGCTGGTATTCTTTCCCCCCACAAAAAAAAGAACCCTAGGCAGGAGAGGTAGCATGTGTATGTACTTTTAAGGTTAGTTGTACTTTGACTTGAAAATTTACACGCATATTTGTTGGCAGTTAACCAGTCTCCATATTCTGGCTTGGTTATTTTGTTTTTAAACTATGGTAAATCATCATCACTTTTTGTCTGATACTTGAACATAATTTAAGTTTTTAACTGCCTTTTTAAAATGATTTTTCGAGTAACAGCCCACTGGAGTAGAGCAACCCACTACCAAATGACTGGAGGTTTAGTTAATATCTGGAATTTTCCACATAAGTCAGCCTACCTTTTATCCTAAAAACGTAAACTTGAACAAAGATCTGTGATAGTGAATTTCATGAAAATATTTTTGTGCATGTTGGTATGGAAAACACAATATGCTTTTAGGTTACTGGTAGAAAAGAGAACTGTTATTCCTTTAAGCATTTAAAGCTAATTTCCCCCTCTGCCATATTCCAGGAAGGATTTAAGGAGATTTATTGGGAATACAGAAAATGTACATTGTGTGGAAACTGGTTTTCACCTAACCCTCTTAGCTTACCCAGGAGTAGATAGAAGTGATAGGATTGTTGAGCTATGAAATATTTTATTGCCCTCATTTCCTACCTGTAAGTATTTAAATTACCTGAAGGATCTAATAGTTTATATTGTGTTAAATACTGGGATTCTGTGCTATATTTTATTTTTTTCAACTGCATTTTTATTCCTAAAGAAGTTTTAAAAACTAAAGTAATAGAAGTTTCTCATATCTATTGTTAACAATGGGAAAAGGAATGAATAGACATTAAGGGATTTTCAAAGGTAAGTTATAAGAAGTAATAGGTTAAAGGTTATGAGAAGCAGTATGTACAAGTTTGCTAAATTGTATGTATAGGCTTTAAAGTGTTTATGTATTATTTTTTAATTTTTTATTTTTTTGGTACAGGAGATTGAACTTGGGATCTTGCTTTATTTTTGTTTTTTGCTCTTAGGCTCCTGCTTACCATCTTATTTTAGAAGGAATTCTAATACTGTGGATAATCAGACTTCTTTTCTCTAAAACTTACAAATTACAAGAACGATCTGATCTTACAATCAAGGTAAGAATTTTAATCTCTTTTATTAGATGGATGATTATAACTTTCATCTTTCCAAAAAAGTAGTGGTGACTCAATATGTTAAAATGTTTTCTGTCATGTAAGGAAATCAAGTAGAATCAAATAAAAGGTAGACAAAATATGGAGAAACTCAGTATTCAAAGGAATGCTGATTTTTTTATCTGTATTCTTTGCTGAATGTAAACAGCAGCCTGACAGATGACTTGAGAGACACATGAGCAGTTACTGCATTTTTATTGTCCAAGTGAAGGTTGTATTAGTTGCTCAGATGGTCTTCACAAAGAAGATTTGAGTTGGAAAACTCCGAGGTACTCCCCATCTCAAGGAATGTGTTATATATGAGAAGAGGAAAAATAAATCCTGAGCATAGCAATAGAAGTTTCTTAAATTGTTGAGTTACAGGCCAAGAATTTAGCTCGGAGCCAAGCCTGCCTCGCAAATGCAAGGTCCTGAGTTCAGTCCCCAGTTAGGGGTGGGAGGGAATAGATTGTGAAGTTACATGCAAAACCCTGAATAGAAAAATGCCTTCAGTTTTTTAGGAAAGAGATGAAGGTAGTAAGTGCACAAAACTAGAGAAGGATTCTATTTTTTCCAACTACAAAAGCTAGATAGGGGGTTTTGGCAGTGTATTCATTATGAATTTCCATTCCAGCACTTAGCTTACATATGGCTGGTATCAGGGTAAAGTCTTGAGCACTATGCTATATTTATTTAACTCCTTTTGTCCTGTAGGAAAAGGAGGAATTGATTGAAGAGTGGCAGCCAGAACCTCTGGTTCCTCCTATCTCCAAAGATCATCCTGCTCTCAACTACAACATCGTTTCAGGGTAAATGGATTTTGCTACCTGAAGGACTTGTGTTTGGCTTCCTGTAGCTGTATTTTTCCCCCCCAGTTCCAGGGCCTGTCATGTGCTAGGAAAGCATCAAGTCCTACCACTTGAACTATATCCACAGGCTTTTTCATTTTATATTTTGAAACAGAATCTCACTAAGTTGCCCAATTTGGCCTCAGATTTGTGATCCCCTGCTTCACCTTCCCAAGTAGCTGGGATTATAGAGTGTGCCACTGTTCCCATCAGTGTTCCTCTTTTTTGTTACCGGGGATCAAACCATTGTTCTTTTTTTAAGTGAAGCAGTTACTCCCTGAAATTTCTGGGAGTATTTAAACAGAAATTTTTAGTGGGGGGCCAGGGATTTAGCTCAGTGGTTCCTGCACCTGCCTCACAAGCACAGGGACCCGAGTTCAATCCCCAGTACCAAAAAAAAAAGAAAGAAAGAAATTTTTTTTTTTTAGAGATGGTCTAGGCATTCTTAGGAGTCTTTCTGTAGTCCACCAATACAAGGGGCAAAACCAATTTAAGGAACAACCAGTGCCAGAGACAGGAGAAGAAACTTCTGAGCTAATTGTGATGAGAGTCGTGGGTTTGAGCATTAAAATTTATTTTCCCTCCCAAACTAATGTGAGGACATGGTTTTTTGTGGTTTTAGATCTACTCTGAATTGCCTTCACAACTGAAATATTAATGGCCTGGAAACATTACTATTCTTTCGTCTTCAGCTATACACAATACCTGTTGACCTCCAGAATATGAGTTATGTAACTTCAGTTATGGTCCCTCCCTCCTAGCTTCTAATTCAGATCTATTTCTAGTTCTTATATTACCATTGCTTTAGAGTATGTATTTCTTCCCCCTCCTAGCTTCCAATTATGAACTGTTTTTACTTCTTATCTTTGCTTTAGTATATGTGTTTCTTTAAATCAAGAAATATTTTAAATATGTGGAAAACAGCAGACACTTGTATACTCACCACCCACTTAATAAGCATTAATGTTTTGCTATCTATATTTCTAATATATTTTTTAAAAGAAAACATTTTATAAATTCTGGGTACTCTTGGTTGGCATAAAGGATAAGTTCTGTCTTGAAAGTAGTGGATGTCTCTCCTTTGCATATTGTTAGAATTTTACTGCAAAAGCCTGTTGCCATCTACATATTTGCTAATATGTAAATATTTGGTATTCTGTTTAAATTGTATTCCAAGATATTTTCCTGATTATATTCTACTTCTAATTTAAGAGTATTCACTTCTGTGAATCTCTTTAATCTTATAAAAGGTACGTGTTTCAATTAAAATTTACCAATCTTGTTTCAGGGATATAGCTTAGTGATACTGGACCTACCTGGCAACTGCAAGGTCCTGAGTTTGATCTCTGGTACCAGGAAAAAATAAAAGTGAAAACATTTATCAGTCTTTTATACCTTGGTCTTTTGAGGAATTAAGAAGTTCTGTTTACCCTACCCTAAGGTCTAATTTGACTGTTTCTTTATGATAGTTGTCCCTGTGTTATTAGTTGAGTATTCTGTTCTTATTGGAAATTTCACTTCCATTTTGTACCAGGTACCTTTATTAAGGATCTCTTCTGATATATCTATTCTTTTGGAATTCTTTTTTGGTTTTTTGAGACAGGCTTTCACTTTGTAGTTGAGACTGACCTGGAACGCACTATGTAGCCCAGGCTGGTCCTGAACTCAAAGTGATCCTCCTGCCTCAACCTTCTGAGTGCTGGGATTACAGGCGTGTGCCATCACACCTGAATTCTTTTGGAATTCTTGTCTCTTCACATGCCAGAGCCTTGCTCATAAATGCCACAGCTTTATAACAAACTGATTGGCATGAGCCCTTAGAATTCCTGTTCTTCAGAGTTGGCTAGGCTTTCTTGCTCTTTATTCTTTACTAGTTTAGGTTTAGCTGATCAGATTTGACCCAAACAGAACATTTGAGTTTTTACTAAGTATTTGTTGAATTTATGCATTAACTTACAGAGAATTAGTACCTTACTGATTGTAAATCTTGCCATCATTGTATGTGGTTTGTCATTTATATAATTGGGTTTTTATTTCCTGCAATATAAATGTATAATTTTCATCATAAAGACTTGGCTTATCTTTCTTCTGACTTTTCTTTTGAAATATTTGCAGATTCCTATGTAGTTATAAGAAAAAATGCACAAAGACCCTTGTGTTAATTGGCTTCCTATCACTGTAACAGAATACCTGAGATGAACAATTTAAAAAGAGGACAGACTTAATTTGGCTTCCAGTTTCAGAGGTTTTGGTCCATGATATCTTGGCCCTGTTGCCTTTGGACCTGTGGCCAGGCACATCATCATGGAGAGCATGGGGTGATTGAGGATGCTCACCTTGTGGCAGCTAGGAAGCAAAAAGAGAGAGAGGCCAGATCCAATGTCCCTTCAGTGGCACACCCCAGTGACCTAACTTCCTCCCGTAAGGCTCCACCTCCTAATGCTTCACCACTTTCCTGTAGTACCATGGGCTGGCCACCAAACCTTCAGCATAAGGGTCTTTGGAAAATATCTGAGATCTAAACTATAATACCTAAATGCCTTTTACCCAGTTTCCTGCAGTGGTAATGTCTTACATAACTACAGTGCCACACCCAGAAATCTGACATTGCATATATTTTAATAGATATCATCTTTGAGTACCAGAGAGTTTTCTGTCATGAGAGGCACCTTTTTCTTTCTTAATGTACTAGCTAAGACACTTTCCATTCAGTATTGAGTAAGAGTAGTGTCAATAGCCATCTTGTCCTGTACTTGATGTTGAAAGATACTCTGTCATATTATAGTTATTCTTTTCCTAGTTTGCTAGGCAAATTTTTGTTTCAATCAGAGTATCAAATTTTATGAGATACTTATCATCTATGACTTTTCTCATCAGTTACTGTGTTAAATTTTACTGATAGGTTCTTTTAATTAATTAGGCATATTGTATTTCAGATTTTTTTCAAAAAACTACATCTACCACTCTACCTTAATCCAGATGTCTACTCTCTTTTAGGAGGAATTACTCCCTATTTCTTGTGCTTTTTTTGTAGTATTCCCTCTGGTTTTCAAAGGAAGTTGCTTAAATTGTTTGTTATCTGATGATTTTCCTTTAGTTTCCAGTTATCATTATATCCATTCATCATGAACAGAAAGACTGCCTATATAAAAATATATGCAGACTTGCTCTTCCAGGCCTGTAGTATCCTTTGTGGGGCCTTTGTGCAGAGTTGGAACAGAGCTTTATTATTTACATTTTTACAACTGCTATAATGTCATATATTATTTAGGCCATTGCTTTTTTTTGTACACTTCTGTTTGCCCTGGAGTTAATCTTCCCTTTGCTCACTTACTTGGTTCTATGTACTAGTGTCTGGTTCATCCTTATCTTCTTCTGGGAGTATAGATCTCTATTGAGACTGTTGAAACCCTTTATCTATTGGGTTCAATTTTCTTCCTAGAGCCCTCTGTCATGCTGTTCCAACCCTAATTGGCTGCTGAGTGCAGCTACTATACAGGTGGCCCTGTAATTTCCCATGATCTTTAACTCAGGAGATCCTTCTGTGTTCTCTGGCATTGGTTGTTTGCCATCTTTGTTTTCTCTCTTGTATTAGTAGATTGTAGATAAATTCCTGGGAAGGATCTGTGGACAGTGAATTTTACACATCTTAAAATTGTTCATTTTACCCTTTTACACTATACTGATTATCTATTTTTATTAATCTTTTAAATACCTCAGTATCTGCTGGTCTTTAGTATCAATTTTTTTCAGTATGAATATTTTTATTGTGTTCAAGACTACTATGTAAATTGTTTATGAAAATTATCTGAAGGATGATTTGTTAATATTGGTAAGTTGTTACTTTATGCAATAGCTATTTGCATTCAGTGCTAAGTTGATGAAGCACTGAGTTATTGTTACTTTGAGTTATGCAATACCTATTTGAATTCAATACTAGGTTGACAAAGTACTGACTTTAATTTACTTGAACTTTTATTCATATTATTTATTTTACTTTTATTCATATTAATATTACTTATCTTGAATTGATTTTTTTCTAAGTAGCAGCTTTGAGACATCCACATACCATAAAATTTATTATTTTTAAAGTATACAATTAACCTGGATTTTTAGTGTGTTCAGGAGTATGCAGTTCTCATTACTAATTCGAGGACATTTTTATCTCTTGCAATAGAAATCACAGTCACTCTACTTCCTCCCTCCCTGTCCCTCAAGCCCTGTCAACCACAGAACTACTTTCTGTATTGATTTGCCTATTCTGAATATTTCCTGTATAAGGGATCACAATATGTAACCTTTTATGTTGAACTTAGCATGTTTTCAAGGTTCATCCATGTCATAGCATGTATCAGCACTTCATTTGTGTGACTAATGTTCCATTGTATGGATGTTTCACTTTTATTTATATATTCATCAGTTGATACACATTTGGGATATTTCTCCCTAAGAGTATATATGAAAACTAAAATACATGCATATAAAAATACATAAATGAATGATATGCTTTGAACATTTGTATACACATTTTTATATGGTTATGTTTTAATTTATCTTGGAGAGAGATATATATATATATATATATATATATACACACACACACACACACACACACACATACATACACACATACATATGTGCACATACATACATACATATGTATACACACATACATACATACATATACATACATACTTGGGTTGTATGATAACAATGTTTAGCATTTTGAGTAACCATCAAACTGTATTCCAAATTGGCTTTATCATTTTACATTCCCACCAGCAGTGTAGGAGGATTCTAGATTCTCTACATTCTCAGTAACACTTACTGTATTGTCTGTCTTTTTTATGATAGACATTGTGGTAAATCAAAGAGGTATTTCGTTTTGGATTTAATTTGCATTTCTCTGATGACTAATGATGTTGAGAGTTTTTCATATGATTTTTGGCCATTTCTGTATT